AATAGAGCTTGTCCTGAAGGTTCAATTACAGAAGGATACTTAGCAAATGAATGCATAACTTTTTGTTTAAGATACTTTGATGGGATGAAAATTATTTTTAATCAACCCATCCGAAATAAAGACAAGAATCCATTTGTAAAGGAAGAAATATCCATTATTTCTACTATAGAAAAACTGTTGGGAACATTAAAATGTAAATGTTTTAATGTTAACAAGCGTAAAAAGGTTTCACGAATTGTACTTGATGCTATAACTTTGATTCAATCACATCGATATATGCTATTTAATACTGCTGAGGTTACTCCTTTTATAAAGTAGGATTACTTATCTACATGCATATTATATTTGATAATTTTTTTTGTAGTATATTGTATAGTTTTCTAAGAATTTTTTTTTAAAGTAGAAAGCATGAGCAATTTATTAGAGGTGTAATCGATCTCGTTGACTTATGCTATATGAGATACAAAAGTTGTAAAGTAAAAATTTTCATGATTAGTTTTGTGATCATGTAAGTCACACATCATGGTTTGGAATATGTAATTAAAATTTTTATAGTTATATTATTATTTTAAGCAAATATGAAATTGGATAGGTTGTCAACTTGGATCAATAAAGAGATGCAAATATCACAGATCAACTTAGATGGCTTGATCATGGTCCAATTGATACTGTTAAGAAATACACTACTTATATCGTTAATAATTTTAGATTTCATACCAAGGCACATGAGAGATATTTGAAAACTCAAAATAGTGGGTTTATTGTAACAACTAAGATGATGAGTTATGCAAGTACAAGAGATGCATAATTTATTGAAGAAAAAGTTAACTATTATGGGATTTTAAAAGACATCATTCAGTTAAATTATACTAATAGAATGAAAGTTGTATTATTTAAATATGATTAAATTGATATAAATAGAGGTTGCAATAAGGATAAATTTGGTTTCATTTTTGTGAATTTTTCATATTTAGCTCATAATGGAACTAATTTGGTTCATGATCTCTTTATCTTGGCATCACAAGCTAAGAAAGTTTTTTATGTGAAAGATGAAAGATATAATGGTTGGGTTCTTGTCAAGCATGTAAAACTTAGAAATGTATTTGATATGGGTGATGAATCATCCTAATATAGAGAGTAAGAAAATGGAGAAATCCATGTTGAATTTGATGGCATACAGGGTACTTCAAATTGGGTTTGAAGTAAAATTGATGATGAAAAAATTGAGGTCATATAAAAGATAGAAAATAAGCATGTAGAAGATGATTCTATAGATGAACATAATCCGCAAGACATGTTTTAATTCTATGTAATAGCTTTAATTGTTGTTCAAGTTTTACAATGTAAAACATAGTTCACTAATATTTTATTTTTGTGTTACTAGCTTGAATTACTTAATTTTGTGTGATTACGTAATATATTAAATTGTACTTTGTGCTTTATATGGTTTGTCACTATCAAATTCTCTGTTATATTGTACTTAGTATTTTTGTGTATTATTAGACTTGAGATGGCAAAACGTAGATGATTGAATATCACTAGGGTAAATCGTGCCTCTAATTTTTAACTGCAAACATAATTTGAAAAATAACATATGCCTGTAGATCCAGAAGCTTCACAACATGAGCCTCCATAAGAATCTAAAAAATCAATTTCTCAATCTATAAATAATGAAGATCACGATGAACAAGTTGAACATAATTTAGGTATAAAAATATTATATTCTGTTAGTACAATTCTTTATGTGTTATAATATTGTACAATTACAAGTTTTAATGAACTTAATTGTTTTCTTTACATGTAATTTTTCTATGTAGGAAATGTTCAACATAAAAAAGCTCGAGGTCCTACACATATGGCTGATATTTAGGATTTGGAAAAAAAGAGCATGTTGTTGTTAAGGTCAATGATGATGCTATAGCTATTGATGATGAATCTTACTCTTTATCTCGATTCATTGGTAGCATGGTCAGAATGCCTAGCTTTGCACCAATTAATTATACAAATTGGCATGAAATATGGGATGATAAGAAAGAAGAAATGTGAAAAACATTAGAGGTATCAATATCATAATATTTTAGTTGTTAGCTAATGCCATGACAATAATCTTTTAGTTTCTAGTTAATAATAGTAACAATTCATATAATATATATTGACATTTTCTTTCCAATTACATTTTTTAAATTGTAATCAAAGTTTGAATTTTATAAATCTGATTCTGATGAGCTCATTGATGAAAAAATATTTCAAAAAATTAAGTTTTAGGCACTAAGAAACATGGGTACTAAGTGAAGGCAATGGAAGAATGAATTGAAGTCTAAATTTTATGATGAACACAAGACATCAGAATAAATGGCTGTAAAGATTGATGATTCTCAAGTAGACAAAAATCAATCTCTGTTTTTTGTTGCACATTGGTTGACTAATAATTACAAAATTATTATAATATATATTTTTTCATTTATTTGTTTAAAAAAATAAAGTGAGACAAATAAAACAAACTGTTCAAAATTAGATGAGCCTCATTGCATAAGAACAAAATCATTCTCAAGGATCATTCAAACCTTGATACATATATCAATTTTCCTTATCGCATTCAGTTAAATGAATATGAAGTTACTTTTTATATGTGCGATTTTTTCATTACAATAATTAATATTGTAACTTTGTAGAAACAAGAAGCTAATGAAATTTCACCATCACATGCTGAAGTGTATATTCTTTCTCATACACGTAAAGATGAAAGTGTTATGAATGACAAGGCAGCTAAAATTATGATATTTAATTTAATTGTTACTTATTTTTACTTATGTTTAATTTCTTTATACTAAAATGTTTGTTTACAATTTTAAGAACTCATGAAACAAGGTTTGAGTGAAACTAGTGCTCAGAATTCTAATGAGAGTTTATGAAAAAATGATGTTTATACAAAAGTTAAAAGACCGAAGAGAAAAGGCATGTTCGTTGCATGGGTACAATATCTACTTCATCTAAATAATATGATCCATCATCTTCTGAATTGGTTCAACATAAAGAAAAGGTACAAGAGTTGAAGGCTAAAATTAAAGACTTGAAAGAAACTTTAAGTACTGTTTTATCAGTACTTAAAAGATAATTTTCTAATGAGAATATGGATATTTTGAATACTGTTGCTCACATGGTGAATAGAAAGGTATATATAACATCTATTTTAGTTTATATATATATATATATATGTAAATTATCATCTTGCTCATGAATCTTGAACCTTATTGAAATTTTTTTTGAATTAAGTTTAGGTTCTTGATGTTGGTAGTGCCCTAGAAATCACGCGTGAAAACTATCATTCTTGAAATTCAAGTTATCAACCTAATGAAAATAAAAATGGTAAGCTTGTCATCACATGATATATATGTGAAAATGCTTTGCTTGATACTTATTTCTTAGATAGAATGCCAAAATCAATTTTGAATATAGGTTTTGAATCATGTAGTTGTGATATTAAAATATTACCCATCATCTTTGCCATAATCATTAAATTATACTATGATTTAAAGCCTGCACTTTTTTTCTTTAAGAAGGCTTTTTTTTTTAAAAAAAAAAGGCTTCTATATGATGTAAATATTTATTTAATGATAGTTCTGTTGACTAAAATAATCTTAGGTTAGTTCCATTAAGTTATTGTTTGACATTAAATTAAAAGAATGAGGAGATGACACATGCAAATTAGATTATTTCTTGTTCATTCATGCATTCCACTAATGAATAAGATGTTTATAAAATTATTTTTGCTGATATATAAATGGATGATTATTTTATGTATATATGAATGAATAATGTGTTTATAAAATTATTTCTAATGGTATATGAATGGATGATTACTTTCTTACATTCTACATATATAAGATAATTTACAAGAATTCTAATTGAATTTTTTTATGCTATGTAGATGTTTTTTTTGTAGAAATCTATGATAGGATTATTTATTTTAAGAAGTTGTTTATTTACTCGAAACATTATGTTTGTAAGGGGATTTGATTTTTTTTTGGATGTTATGCACTTTGTTGAAATAAGGCTATTATGTTTTATGATGCTTGTTTGGTATATTGAATACTGTTAGTGAGCTGGGTTTATTGAACTTGTTAATTATATGATTTAGCTACACTTGTTAACTTTTTCAAGACTTGTGATATTTTGTATGAATTAAAATATTTTAGTTTTGAAAAGGCCTTATAATACTAGCATGTATATTTTTTTCTTATTGAGGTGATTTTGTAATTGTTTGTTCGTTTATAGATTTTTTAAGATTATCTTGTTCAAAGTTCTATTGAAGTTTTAAGATGATTAAAAGATCTTTAGGTGTCTGGTAGTGCAAACTTATGATTATATTTTTTAGGGTAAGGTAGTGTAACTCTTTATCTATGTTTGTTTTACCGATGTTTGTTTTATCAGACTTGGTGCAATGACTTTAATTTTTTACTTATACTAAGTTTGTGGATTATAAATAATTTACTTGTAGTTTTAATGTTATTAAATATCTTTTGCTCTATTGTATTTTTTTTTTTGTTTATATGAAAATATATCATATTATGATTATAAATAAATTAATATTAATAATTAAAAATATAATTTTTTTAAAAATTTACCAACATATTAACATTCATACTGACGCACTTGATCGTTAAAATATTTCAGGCGATATTAACAATCATCAAAATATAATAAAGAAATTAAAACATATAAGTCTATACTGACAATCTCTAACCGTCATTAAAAGTAAGAAAATTAAAGTATACAATTCTATACCGATAGTCTCTAACCATCGATATAGATAAAAAAATTAAAAAAATATAAGTCTATACTGACAGATATTAAGTATCAATATAGGTCAAAAAAATTAAAACATATAAGTCTATATTGATGGGCGCTAACCGTTGATATAGGTCAAAAAATTAAAACATACAAAATTATACTGACGGGCTTTAAATGTTAGTATAGGTAAAAAAATTAAAAGTTTATATTGATGACCATTAACTGTCGGTATAAGTAAAAAAAAATTAAAACATACAAGTCTATACTAACGGGTATTAACCGTTGCTAAAAAATATAATGGTAGAACACACAACAGATACTATACCAACAGATATTCATTTACGAACGATCTTGAACTATAAGTATATCTCTATAAGTTATTTTGACATCTTAAAAATTATCAGTATATATCTATACCGACAAAAAATATATTAACGGTTAAAAATTTGTTGAAATATACATTTTGACTATTGTATAGGATTTATGGGATTATATTGACAGATTTTAAGATTTTACTGATGCTTTTTTAAGTGTCATTATATGTCAAATTTTTGTAGTGATAACTACTCTCTTCAACCAAAGGGAACCCTTTTCAAAAGAAAAAATAAAAAAAAGAAAAAAAGAAACAAAGTAAGGGTAAATGCCAACAATATAATAATTGATGCCACAAGAAAATGGGTAATATGGGGAAATCATTTTCTATGAAAATATGTTTCTAAGTGATTTTCTAATAGAAATGCCGCAAATGTTGAAACGAGGCTTTTGTCATAAGTTTTATATGATTTTTATTGGTGGTCATTAGACTCGTAAACCTTGAATAATACAATATTGGTATTTATAATTATTTTTCAAATCAAGTTAATAAAAAAATAATTATTGCAATACAAAATCCTAGCTTCTGTTCCATTCTAAAAAATACTTAAATGTGGAGAAGTGTGGTCAAAGGCACCAATAACAACACCTTCCATGGCCATGGAGTACATAAAAAAACACCTTTAGTTTATGCTGAGCGATCAAATTAAATCAGTTGATATCGATTTCATGCCGACGACATTTTTTTAGTAAATATTTAAAAAAAAAATGCATGCCACAATGTATTTTTAATAATTAAAAGAAAAAAAAGCCGTCTACCAGTTTAGCGTTGAAACTGGAAAGTATTGAAAATTAGCGCGCTAAAGTTCTTAAGGAACGCGCCCATTGCAGCGTACTCTCCAATCGCCCTTTCATCAACTCTACAACGTAGAAGCTGCGGAAAGAAGAGCCAGAAGCCAGAAAGCATGACGAATCCAACGGTCAATGGAGTAGCAACCACCCTGGGCAAACCCCACTTATGCCCTAACGCCTTCTTCAGAGCAATCTCCGTCATCAAACACGCTCCATGGAGAAGAAAGAACCACGTGATTTCCCACGTGGGCCTCACGCGTCCCAGGTAATAGAAAATCAGCTCGTGCATGAGGGCCGACACGAGAAAAGTCCCGAAAACTGCGGGAATTGGAGCCCATTTACGACCAACGAAACGAACACATATGTTGAGAACGGGTTCGTATACTGTCGGTCGTAGAATATTAGTTACCATTATGTTCCATCTTCTGCCCCAGAAATCTTGCAGTGAGGTGGAGAGATACGGTTCATTGAACTGTTGCTCCAGCTCAAGACCCAACAGCAGTCGAGCCAGGGCTGCCACCATAGCCAGGATAATCTCTAAAACAAAGTAAATGTGAAAAGAATACAGAACCAGCATGATGGTGGGGTGGATATACTCGCTATAGTCATATACACGAAGCAACAAAGCAAGCAGAAGAATTTTTACTGCATAGTTTATAGGTGTTTGATGGCCTTTTTTAGGCTTGGTCGGACCAGGGATTTCTTTGTTATGGCCATTTAGATGAGATTTAGGAGATGAGTTTTGTTGGATTTTGATGGGCAAACAAGCAATTGCCAGAAAATGAGCTAAAGAGAGTGATGGGGATGATAAAGGGCCTTTACCGAAGGCGAAAAGCAAGAGCTTGAAATTAGCAAGCCAAGCGATGAAGAAAGCGGTGGTACCTCCTAGATGTATGGAGGAGAGATTGAGCGGAACTAAGACAAATAGGCAAACAATTGGTACCAAACAAAGAAGCCGCGCAATTCCTTTAGGGATTATCTTACCTATAAAGTAGCAGTAGAATAGAGAAATTATAACGGAGAGCCAAACCTTCAAGAAGTTGTTCATTTCTCCGCTCTCCATTTCTTTCACTTCCAAGCTATCTACTTCTCACCCTTTTCCCTTCTGCTCTTCCTAATTTTTAAGCCGTCGGTGAAGTCTCAGAGAGAGTAGTAGAAATTTTTTGTGGCTGAACGTGAATTATTAGGTAGAGAGGGGGATGTGAACTATGCGTGAATGGCAACGCAATGGACAATCTGTGTCACCTTCCAAAAGTTGAAACTAAAATGGCTAAACCATGGGCGGTTAAACTTTTGGCATCGCATTCTACGAGGTAGGGACATTAATATGGAACAAAGATTAAGCCATGTTTCGATTTTATACTGCTGGTATTGATTTTTTGACAAGTCAATGGCTGAAATTCTGTCTTGTCGACCGTGAGGAGCAACGTTTTTTTTTTTTCTCTGAGTAATGATGGGAGGTATATGGGACAAAGTTTTACACAGTTCTAGAATCTAGATGAGATGTGACGGGATTCAGGAGAACAAACAGTTGACTGTTTCTTAACCCTTGAGCTAAACCAGCTAAAGGACCCATTCCTTTGGGCATGTGTCTGATGTTTTGATTCGTTTAAATCATTCAGGATACTTTGGACAATAATGACTGGGTCCTGATTTATTTAGGGGTGGTTCTAAACACATTTTTTTACATATTTTTTGTTTCTTTTTTTAAAAAAATTAATTATTTTTTCATTTTAAATTTAAAACTTTTTATATGTATTTTTATAAATTATATAACTTATAAATATATATTTTTAATAAGTTATATAATTTATCAAAAAATATACCTAAAAATTTTTTAAAAAGTTATATTTAATTTTGAGAAAAAAATCAGTACAAAAACAATATTTTATAAAAATTTTTAAACTTTCAAATATATAATAAATCCAAAATTTTTTAAAATTTTGGAATATGTAAATTCAACAAATTTTAAGAACTTTCGGATTACAAATCTAAAAATTTAAATATAAAAAGATGTTACGAGAAAAAATATAATTAAATAATTTTATTTAAAAATAATTTGAAAAAAAGTGAAGAATAAACAATAAGTGTAAATAGAATCTCTTTTCGTTCAGTTGCACCAATAATTCTTTTTATTTCTACTTTAAAAATCAGAAAATTACATTAAAAATCAATTTTTCTTTGAAAAAAAAAAATCATAACCTCGCCTAATTTTGACCCTTGACATTTGCATAAATGGGATGACAGTCTTGGTGAGCCGTTGCTGCACTCTGACCGTAAGCGGGCGATCCAGATTTTAAACATTTTGTGTGTTTTTTTGTCTTTTCAAGTTGGCTCAAAATTGGAGGATCTTTCTAGGTAGGTAAAAGGATTTTGGGTTTCCACCGAAAGTAAAATTTCAGTCGTTTCTTCTTTTTAAATGGATAATGAATTCTTGCAAACTTGGGCCAACTCTCAGGACCCTCTACAAAGATCAGTATCTCTTGGAAAGAGAGGATTACATCCCAAATGAAACTGAAAGCTGAGATTGGCACTTTTTATGTTTCTCCAAAATAGCAAAATAGTGTGTTAATTGTTCCTTGAACGAGGGCAGAACCAGCTTCATAACTGCAAATCAGTCGCTTTGGAAGCGTATTTTTTTCTATCTTCAACGACACATCAACCATTTGCAAAAGCTGACTTAAAGACCCAACACCAAGTAATCCTAAACCATCAGTATCATCAGTTGATTGAATTTTCTATCCTACTGTTGCTGCTCGTATATCTGCATATAAGCTTCAGATAATGCAACCATCTGAGGAAGTGTTTCAGAAACATGCAGATCTTGCATCTCATACCTGCAAAACATGAATTTCAGAAGCATCATACACTATTTATAGCCTTTCACTCACTTAAATGCAAAATTATTTGGAAAATTACCATAGTTCTTCCGACTTCCGCTGTACAAAGACCCTGTAGAACCCCTCATCAGGCTTACCGTCATGAACAATATTGGCAATTAGATCATACTTGGAGCGCAACCTTTCATTCTCTTTGTTTGGTGCTGGCAGAGGAATGTAGTCCTTCAACTCTAGGTTTTTCACGGGAAAGTTCACTGCAGAAGGGAAACACGTAGGATAAAGTGACAAAAACCAGGCTAGATCCCATGAGATATAGTGATTACATTCCAGAGACTGATCAAACAAATTCTTATATGTGCAAGAACATAAAACTCACCTAATGTTAAGTTCTTTTCTCTGAAAAAATTATTCTTAGTAAAGCGGCGCATGTGAAGTATCAAGTACTGTGGCAATCTGGTGACTCGATATCTCATCCTTGCTGGAGGACGAACAGTTGTTGTCACAGTCTCACCATCAAACTTCTTCAGTATATTAAACAAAGGAACCTAAAACAAAATTATAAATAAAATTAATCTCGATCCAATAAAAGCATCACAAATCATAAATCCCTTGCTGGTTGCCACTCCAAGTTTATTTCATAATGGCATTTTCCTTCTGTCTGATCAACAGAGCCAACCAAAGGATTTGGCTTTTTAGTACAATCAACATCGACTTGCATAAGCTTCTATTAACATTCATAGCACCTCTTTAGTGCATGTCATCAAAATTATCGTCTAGACTTAAAATACCATGTCACATACCTGATAATAAAGTTTATATATTACAGGTTGCAAGGGCCTACAATGTCAGATGGATATGGGTTTAACTCTGCTGTTTTTGCATGTTTAGTAACCGTTAAAAAGTCACTCAAGGTGCATAACATGGAAGAAAAAGAGTGGAGAGGAGGGTATAAGAGAACTTAAATAGCAGTCAAAAGAAGAAAAAATAGAGTAAAAAAATTCGATTCTAACATATTAGTTTACAATTTGAATCATGCAAGAAACCAACCTCATTGTTAAGGATGACAAAATTATCTGCATCTGACAAGCTTTGTCCTATCCCGATCCAATAGAGTCGAATTTTTTTTAAATATGAGGTTCATTGGGTTTTCTTGTCTGAGGTTAGATTTGGGTTGAAATCGAGTTTTAGGTAACATAAGCCTAACCTGAATATATATAAAATATATTTTTTATTATTTATTTAATTTTATATTTACATATGTATTATATTAATAAAATTATTATTTAATACTTCAATTTAAGATATTAACTTAATAAAAATATTATATTTATGTATAATTAAGATAAAATTTATATTACAAGATAATATTTTATGAATATTATACTAAATTCAAATTATTAAATTAATTTAGAGTCAGGTCAATTTATAAATATGCAGATCAGGTCAAGTCGAATATGAAAAAAACATTTTAATATCAAGTCAAGTTTGGATATTGATATTAAAGGGTCAGGTTGAGCTAAAACCCACCTCGACCTTATCCATTGCCATCCCTTCTCATTGAAGCTAGCAAGCAATATTCTTTTTAATACTTTCCTACCCGTGTTGAAAAATTAAAGAGAAATACGTAAACTACCTAAGGTATTATATTTTTCTCCATCACATCTTTGGAAAAACCCCACAAAGTATGTAAACTACCTGAGGTATTATATTTTTCTCCATCACATCTTTGAAAAGAGGTGGTTCAGGCAAATCCAATCCAAGCATTAGAAACGGCATTCTGTAAGTTTCAGCAGCAACATTATTATTCTCAATTACACCATCCGTAATCTTTGGAGGTCCATTCTGTTCCCCTCCACTTTCTTTCTTCTCAGCAATAGCTTTGTTCTGTGTCTCTTTTACAACCTCCAGTTCCCCCTATTAATACCAAAGTGTAAAATAAGCACAGTAAAAATGACTTAAACAAGATGGTAAAGCATGAAATGCAAGGTTTTAATTAGAACCTGAAAGCACTTATGGATGATACTGCTACTTTTCTTTGAAGTTCTAAGATCTGCATGCAGTGTATTAAGAAGCCATGACATGAATTCAACCGGCTCAGACTGCGCACCTATTCGAAACCGTTTTTTACTGGCTTTCATAACTGCTTGTAGAAACTCATGAGGGCTCACCTGTTGACACAAGTAATTTGTAAAACTATGAATCCAATGTGTTCCATGACAATAATCTTGCAATACTAGAAGCATGATCTAACCTGTCCTTTAAAGTTTCGAGCATGCCAAATCTTCCGTGTGAGTTCTCCAAATCGATGAACAAGTGGAGATCTACAGTGCTGGTAATTTTCAGGGATAAGGAAAAAGTTCCTTAAGGGAGTAGCTCTCATTAAAGATTGAATGGTTACATTGACAAAATCAGTCTTTTGAATATTATTCAATCCCACCTGAAAATTCACACAAATAATGAGATCATGTTAGCACAAAAAAATAAGGAAAAACTTTCAAACACTGATAAAAAATATGCACCCTTGAATTTGGGAACAAAGATGATTACCATTCCTGGAAGGTAATCTGAACCATCAAGTGCTCTAGACCATTGCTTGTTCTTGTCAAGTTGCTCAACTTGTGCTCTGGAAAATCTGCAAACATGGAGCCCAAGAAAAAATTGTAATTTTTGAAAGTGAAGAATTTTTATTACCAAAGGAAAATTGAAAAAATTGAAAGGAAACCATATGCAAATATCAACCACTAAAGGTACTGTAGATCACAAAATCTTTTTAACTTGTTAACTAAAAGCTCTAAAGAAAACATACCGCAGTGCAAGCTAGATAATCACAGTACATTACGGCACAAACTGCACACAAGCTAGATATCCAGAGAATGATATGATGCAAATGCTTATCTGCATGCATGAGCAGGGACAGAAAAAGCTAAAAAGTAAAAGCAATAACGTGAATATCAGCAAACCTTGGATTTAGAACATGGCGTATATCATCCAATGATGGGTCATTAATTTCATATCCATCAGGGAGACAATACACCTTCTCTGTTCGAAGATTGATGTAGACATGATGTCCTGCTTCTAGACTATGAGTATAAGCATGGGACTTCTTCCCTCTTCCTTGGTAATACTTACCACAGACCAGGCATGCATACACATTCAAATTTGACAAAGAGACTGAACAAAACTTCTCAAAATCAAAATCCAGCACCTGTAAAACTGAAGTTATTAACCATTTGACAAATCTAGAAAGAAAAATAATACCATGCAATTGACAGTTTACGTAACCATTCAAATTTCAACACTTAAGATAAAGTTATTTACCTGGCGGTTAACAGTATCAAGGTAAGGGCAGTCTCTTCGTACTTCAACCTGGCGATTTGGCTTCTCTAGCATTGATCCTTGCCCATATGGATCATCACCATCATCATTGTTGTCATCTTCTTCACTTTCAACTCTTTGAGCATCTTCTTCTCCACAGCCAATATGATTCAATCCCCTCCCTTCATCATCTTCATCATCATTATAAGGTACAAGTGGCTCTTCAGAAGGTGAAGATGGCCCATCCGCAGCTTTCTGACGTTTAGTGTCTCCTTCCATGTCTACACTATTACCATCTTCTCTATTTGCTTTCATCTTTTTCCCCTCCTTCAGTCTCTCAGTTTCTACTGTCAAAGCACAATAGCTTTCATCAATTAAATTAAATTCTCCTAAGATCTTCTATTGCATTTATTTACCTAAAACAAATAAAAGCCATTTCTTTTGGATGCTGAAAAAAGAGCAGGAAAATCCATAGCCAACTAACTAGGGTTCTTATCGAGTACCAGAAAACCGTAGCAGCCAAATAAACACGAAAGTTCCTTTTTTTTTGTTTTTTTTTTATCTAATTCGTGATTTAATTTATACGATTTTAATCAGCCAGAAAATAAAATGCGTTAAAAGGAATTTATATATAAGGAGATTCTACAATGATTATCCAGGTTTTTCAACAAAATAATTTCAGCAGCAAAAATAAAAATAGTATACATTAACAGAAATAAATAACTTAGAGAACATTGTTTAATGGCTAACCTGATAGAGAATTTTCTTCTCCATGGAAAAAGCTCAAGTTAATCAGTCACTCCAAATTGTCGCCGGCCGTCGACATTTCGAGGACACAACCACGAGAGAATAGAGTAGCAGACTTCTACACGTTGATTATCCAAGGCGGTAAGATCGGGCGTTGAGCGAAACTTGATTATCCAATCCGTCCAACCCAATCAAATATATGGATAGATTTGGTCACAGGTGAAGCCTAGGCCTTTTTTAAAATTGGGCTTTGAATTGCGCTGATCTGTTGGTTGGGCACCGTTAAAATCTCAATCCAAATAGAAGAAGTGGATTTAACTTTGGTTGTTTGAAATTTTTTATTAAAATTGTAATGATGCATTTTTTAAGGAAGAATTTTATTTGTAGAAAATTTTTTAAAGTTTTAAAATAAAATTATTTTATTTGAAAAAATAAAAATTGAAATTTCAAAAAATTTTTGAATTTGAAAATTTCCCATCCAAATTCAGCAAAATTTAACATCTCAAACCACACAAACACACCCAAATAACAGGCCCCTGATTTTGGGGATGCCAAATGAAACCATTGGAAAAGAAAAGAAAGAAAAATATTAGTACTCCTTGGTCGGGAACAAAATATGGAACATAATAAAGTTAAAAGGGACATGGTTTCTGTAACTTTTAACTTTCACAGTGAGAGAAAAAACAAATATGTAATTATGGAACGAACCCTTTAAAGTTTCAACTTTTCATTGTCCATTACAAAGCTGGTTGCTCCAATGGCAGATATAAAGTTTAACACAATGCAAGATTAGCACGGCGGTTCCCAAGTGATCAACCTGGAAGGAAGGTCAACAGCTTAACTTTTTATTAATCGATTCCTACTGCTGCAACCCGGGCTCAGGGAAAACAGAAAATTTTGATTAAATCTCTCTTCATAGTGTAGATGATCAGTCTCACACAGGATATGGATGGCAAATAAGAAAAAAGAAAATGAAACTATGGCTCATCTAAAGGAGACTTGGCAAACAATGGGCTCGACGCAAAGCAATGACACTGGAAATTCGTGTGTGGTTTATGATAGCCATTCTTTACGGATGTCAAAAGTGTAGTTAATCTCCAAGTAGCATTTGTTGTCGTCGTCAGCAAACTGCAAACAGAGAAAAGAGTAATGGAAATGGATCAGTAAGGCTTATATGCGTAGTCTTAAGATGGTGCAAAAGGTGTCTACAGTTTCATGTTTAGAACATCATATGACCCACAAATTTGAATCTCAAAAGCCTGGCTCATTAAACTTGTATCTTGAAAAATCATGGGTTTCCTCGTTTCTTAGTTTTCAAAGAAAACGACTGCATGGGCTACACTATTATAAGAGACACCGTCTAACAAGAGAATCAAGTAATAATAGCAAATCAAGTCTTAAGCTTGTTCGGGTAAAAGCAACAGCAAACCAGATTCATACAAATCAAAATGTTTGGAACCACTTCAAATGCTTTTGCATTTTCCCCCCTTATAAATCATTTGGTGCAATTACTTTGTAAAAAGACTAATGAGACTATAAAACTATTGTCGATTTTACCTTACTTTTAGCTGAATAATTTCCTCGAGCAAACATTCCAGATGGAGTTGTTTCTTCACATATTTCATGCGTAAATGGCTCTGCCTGGGGACTGAAGGTTCCAATCATCTCTTTGGTGCTATCCACTGTTTCAGGAATTCATGGTGAAGAACATTGATCCAAAGATTATATAAAAGAGCATAATTCTTTCATATGAGAGAGAAAGAGAGAGATGAATTACCCTTGACACCAGTTTTCCAAACCGTATTAGTGTACTTGAGGCCGGATACAATGTTATTGCTCACTTGGAATGTGAATTGCAGGCTGTATTTGCTACCTTCTTTTAAGGTAAACCACAAACCTTTGGGCTTTCCGTCCTCCGGAATTGGAAGTACCATATCAGGTCTACCAGGTGATTTGATTGCAAGGCTCAGGATCTTAACCTCTGGTTCGAGATTTTCTATACCATCATAAACAATAGCAGAAAATGTCAGGATACAAAGAAAGCCAGTTCATTGGAACCTTTCTTTTTCCCTTAGTTTTTTAATGGTTTGCAGGTGGGGTATTTCCCCAAGGAAATGCATATATACTCTCGCAGGATGAAACAAGAAAGAGACAACAAAGCAGGAAACTACTGAGGAGATGGCGGTTTTACCCTATGCTCTACAATTTTAAGATAACTGTCAAAGAGCTTACGACAACGAAATTACAAACATATTTGTTCGAGAATACATAATTCATCCTAAGATTAACTAGCAGAAATTTAAAATTTAAAGAACATTTGCTGATAATACATCTGAGAGTGAGAACCAATATAATCAGCAGAAAACTGCATGACAAGTTGCTGAAATTCAATATTAAACACAAACAAATTGATCTTGCATCCATTTCTTTAGCTTACCAAGAGTGCAATTGTGATGTATCGAGTACCAATCTAGAGTTTTTGAGGTCAGGGGTTTATATTCAAGATATTTTACCCACAATGCCAAAAGAGAATTGGTAAGCTTCTTTAGAATGATTACTAGCTAGCTAAAACCTTGAACATTCAGTTTGAGATCAGTTTTCATTCCATGAAAACTCAATGAAGAGACAGAGGAATCTAGTCCAAAGTTCCAAAATAAACTCCATCATGACCCATATACGATTATAATGGAAAAATTAGACCATATAAATTTCGTCAAGTATCAAGGAATAGAAATGAAAGACGAGAGAGATGTAGTAAAAGAACTCAAACCTCCAACGGACTCGAAATCCAAAGTTCCAAGAAGTTGTTCCTTCCACCTCCTCAAGCTCTCGTCATCCTGAATCCTCATATTCCACCAGAAGACACAGAAGATTAGACATTAACAATATTTCAAAGAAAAGAAAGATACGTTGATAACCAATGAAAGACAAAGGAAAAGAGAATTAAAAAAAAAAAAAACTGAAACTGAAACTGAAATATGAACAAAGAGACAAACCAACCAACCTTATCCTTTTCGAATTGTTCTTTAAGGGTGCACTGAGGGCCCAACTCAATCTTCCTCTCTTCGTCATCATATTCATCTTCAGTAGGACAAAGAGAACTCTCGCTTGCTTTTCTATTAATTTCAGCGTGATTTTCTTCAACGTTTTCTTCGTTAGGAGGCATCTTTGATGCTGTTTTCGTCTCAGAAGCTTCACTATCATCTCTCCCATCCTTGTCAAACCCCATGTTTTTGGAACTTGAATCCTCACCAACCGCCAAAGACATCAACACCCTTCAACAGTACAACAGAAAAAAAAAAAAAAGAGCTAATGCAAGAGAAAGAGGCTGAACTCACTCACCAAAATATAATAGTAACTAACAGAGTAGCGCAAAAACGCAACAAGAACAGAAAAGAGAAGCTAAAAAAAAACCCCACTAGGAAGAATCTTGGAAGAAAACAACAAAGATGAGGGAACCCCAATTAAAAAAAAAAAAAAGTAGTATTAAAAGATGTTATTTTGGGTCAAAGAATCCCAGAAAGGTAAACAGAAACCAAATATCAAGAAAACCCACCAAAGGAATAGGATAACCCTTCAAACAAGAAAAGAGACCAAGAAAAAGAAAGAGAGGAATGGATAGCAAGAAAGAGAGATGGGTTGCTTAGGAAAGTTCAAACACTCGAGGAAAGGGTCATGTGGTGATCCGAAGTTATGTATCAAATAAAGGAGAGAGGTGGCGAGATCGTGAAGGTCACTCCTGCACTGGCTTCTACGAAGACCACGATTCGAGGATTTGCTTTTCAATTAGTTTCTTATTTAACAGGACACACTTGAAAACAAGAAACAAATAGAGCGAGAGAGAGAGAGAGAGAGCCTAGCTAGCCTAGGATTGGCTGGATGATAGACGCCTTTTGACCTCTTCTCACAAATATAATGATTGGAATAAGGAAAAAAAAAGTACCTCGGATGACAGTAGGCACTCAGTTTCAGGCTTTTTGTACGCTGAATGACCTTTTCGAGTCTTTCACTGGTCGTTGGTCGTTCTGAATTATATGTCGTACTTGGAAGTTGCACCCCTTGGCATAAGTTGTCAAAGGTGCTTCCATGACTTCAGAATACCAATTCTTTGAAATTAATATAGAGACAAGAGTTTCGAGGAAAATCTAAATCCATTTGCTTTGATGTTTCACACCCGTGAGAGTTACACGAGTGACAATTCAATAGTTTCATTTTAGTGCTTTCAGCTCTTAAGTCTCGATCTCAATTTCAAGTTGTTAAAATTTAAGGTGATCATGTTGATGACCATGAAATTTTATGATTCGGATTCAATTTGACTATTTCTAGAGGTTACTGAAATAATTGATGAATGACAGGATTAATTGAAAGGACCCGCTGTATGATTACGCCTAATTCACGCGAAAATGCTCCGCTTCATGTAATTTAATTTAATTTAATCTAATTCATTGTCAGCAGAATCAATTATGCATTGTTCCAGAAAAGACTCAATTTATAATGCATAATTATTATTGAGCAAAGAATCTCTCTGCCCTCTTTACTTCTTTAACTTGGTGAAATATTGTAATAAATTATTTAAGCAAAACAAATAATTACAACAAATGCTTTCTGCACGTTTCTTCCATCCCTCTCTCACTCTTCTCCTTCTGTTTCATTCACTCAACACCTCCATTGATGGAGGAATTCAGGTTCCAACCAATGAATTCAAGAATATATTAATTTGTCCTTCAAAACTGAACGCTACAACAAAAAACCAGTACAAATTTCATCGGATTCTTCGACCAAGAGAGAGGTGGTTATGTCATCATAATAGAATTATGAAGAACACGAGTAACTAGCTTAAATGTGACGCCGCATTCTTGCCCTACCTAACAGGAGATTTTGAGCTGAGCAACTGACTGTCTGACTCCATGCTTCCCTCTGCTGCAATTCTAGCACGTGGACATTAATATTGGTGGTCTACCGGTAACTTAAGAATGGCAAACAGAACATAACAGCAATAGCCCCAATTATGAAGTACTAGTCCTATGTCTAACAATAAAACATGGGAAATCACGGCTTCAATGATGGTAAAATAACTGCCATGGCTCTCCATCCCGTATTAAGTTCTAAAAGCAACCAAGAGTCAAATACTATAAATGTTCAGAATAGTGCTGAAATCATAAACAATTCTCCCGCTATAATGCAGATACTGCAGAGTTTTGATTTCAGCAAGATTTACAGGATGTTCAGAATTAAGTCACAATTGAGTAGGTTGGACATGAGCTATGCTCAAGTAATCAAATACAACATGTCAAGAGAATCTTGGGTCAAAGAGTGCTGAATTTCAGCATGTTTTACACAATTGACATGAGTCTGCCATTATGTTCTAGATTAACTGATTATGCTGAAGCAGAAAGCTATTTCAACAAATCATCTCACTTCTATTTTCCAAAGTGTTTTGTTGGCAAGGAATTCAAATAGTAACCTTGTGGAAAGAATGAACTAAAGTAATTTTCACACTAAGTATCTTGTGAAGACAACCCTTAAGTGTCTACAGAAGGGGGAAAGAAATTAAGAGGAGAATTCTGAATGCATTTCAATGTTTATAAACAAACAATATTTTGGATTCATTAGCTGTTCAAGGTGCTGCTGGGAAGTAAAACTCATTTTAAAAAAATCCCGTGACAGGAGCGTTTAAATTTCAGAAATCCAGTGAATTCAGTAAAGAGAAGAGACGCATAAACTCTTAATGACCTTTCAATTTCCATCTCATTCATTAACTTTCACAAAATGGAAAGGTGTTTCTGGATACTACAATTGAAATGCAATAATCATTGCCACACAAGTGACATTAAGAACAGAGAAGCGATATCCAAACCTGCAAGAAAATTTTAATTGCTTCCCCATTTTTTCAAAACACTCTCTTTAGCAGAAACATGACCATGTGCTTCCCTCTTTAACATATTATAAGAATCAGCAGGACCATCTACATAACTCTTTCCCAGGATTCTTGATGTTACATAGGTGAAACCATCTCTTGTTCCACGCAAAGCATAAAGTAATGGATTGAATATGACAGCCAACAACAATTTGCCCTTTGCAATTATGAGATACTGCAAATGCAGCAAAGAACAATGTCAATTGTCAATGTTATGGCCTGCTCGAAACTAATGGAGTAGTAGGGATGGGGACACGGCCTACTTATGCATAATGATATGTAAAAGCATTTCTAAATGGAAAAGTAATTGTGGGAAAACATTTATTTACAGCTGGTTGTAATCTTGTAATCTATATATTTATATTTGTATCTTTAGAATTAAGAACAAAAAATTAGGATAGACAATCTCTCAATTATAGAATCAGTTTTAAGAAGATTTAGTTTCTTAGTTTACCCACTAATTAGTTGTATATAAACCTAAGGTGCTTGTATAATTCTTCAAGAGCAATTTTTCAATATACATTTAGTTTTACTCTTAGTTTTCCATGTAGTTTTATTTTTTAGTTTTTCCACATTATATCAAAACTTTAGGCTTTCTTGGGAAGAAAATTTTTTCAACCTTTATTGCTAAATTCTATTTCAAGCTTTCATAGCCAAATTTTGTTATATCTTTCAATCTTATTTTTCCCTTCTTTGGCTTTCATTGCCTAAAATCGTAGCTGGTTAAACCTTTACTATCAAAACTCATTTCAATCCTAAGAAAGATAACTATGCCAGAATAGCAAAATCTGCCACTATTACCTGATTTGAACTACTACCTGATTTGAAGAAGTGACAACTAGTAAAACCAACAAAGTACTACAAAAGTTTCGAGAACAAAAAAGAGATTGAGAAACTAAGAAATCTATTGAAAATTCTTGAAAAATCTACCGGGGTATGTTCTTTAGGTAAGGTCTCTAATTCAGGTAAAGTTTTTGGTTCTCATGAATTAAATGTCTTAATTAAGCCTACTACGAGCTTCTAGGTCATTGACTTAGGAGCCACAAATCATATGACACATTCCTCACAAAAATTTAGTACATATACCCTATGTCATAGTAATAAGAAAATTGTTGCAGATGGTTCACTTACTATAGTGGCAGGATTAGGAGATATTCAAATTAATCCATCGTTTGTTCTTAAAAATGTTTTTCATATTCCTGGATTGTCTACTAATCTGATATCTATACAAAAATATACCAAAGACATGAACTGCAAAGTGACTTATTATCCTTCCTATTGTGAATTTCAAGACTAGAGTTCGGAGATGAGGATTGAACTTGCTAAGAAAAAGAATAAATTATACTATCTTGAGACATCAAACAACACAAATAATCTCTAGAATAGTTTACTTTTGTCATTTTTTTATGAAAAATCTCCCAATAAAGACAAAATCTATCTTTATCATTTTGTCTTAGACATCCTTCTTTTGGAACTTTGAAAAACATGTTTCCTTCTTTGTTCAAAGAATTAAATGCCAAAAATTTTTATGGTGATGTCTGTGAACTTGCAAAGCATAAACGTGTGTTTTTTCTAGTTAGCAATAAAAGAAGTTTTACCCCTTTTTACTTAATTCATAGTGACATATAAGGTCCTTCTACAATTCTTAATATTTCTGGTGCAAGATGATTTGTTTCTTTCATAGATGATTTTACTAGGGTCTTTTGAAAATTTTTACTTAAATCAAAATCAGATGTGAATAATGTGATTTTAAGTTTCCAAAACATGATCCAAAATCAATTTGGAGTGAAAATCAAGAGATTATGTCTGATAATGCAAGAGACTATTTCAACCAAAGTTTATTTACTTATTTCCAAAAGGAGAGGATTATCCATGAGTCATTTTGTGTTAATACTCCATAGCATAATGGAGTGACAAAAAAGAAAAACAACAATTTACTAGCCACAACCCAAGTTTTACTTTTTCAAGCAAATAAACTCAAATCTTATTGAGGGGAAGTTGTTCTCACTGCCACAAATATTATAAATAGGTTACCTTTAAGGGTTTTGAGATTTAAATCCTTATGAAACTACTCTCACCATTCTATCCCAACTTTAATACCACAAACAACCTCACACCTAGAATATTTGATTGTCCATCATTTATTCATGTCCACAATCATAATAAGAGGAAGTTGAATCCTAAAGCAATTAAGTGCATTTTTGTGGGGTATTCATCAACTCAGAAAGAGTATAAGTGCTATCATCCTCCTACCAAAAAATTATGTGTCTGCAGATGTCACTTTTGAAGAAAGTAAACCATTTTTTACTCAACCTTATCTTCAGGAGAAAACTTCATTCATGTAAGATAAAGATAAAGACTTCTTTTTACTTGACTTGTCCTCCTCTTCAACATTTTCACCCATTAATTCTTCGAACTCTAAACCTGTTTCTTTTGAGTCAAAATCAAATACTGAATTTGAGTCTGAACCTATTCCTAACACAGAAGATGTGACAAAAGATAATATTATTCTTGATTCTATGAAGGAATTACAGGTGTACTCAAGAAGGAAAGTTCCAAATCTTGAACCAGTCCAAGTCCAAGAACCTAATCCTAACTCTGGAAATGAAGTAACTACAGTATTTGACTCTGTTTCTCAAAATGAGCATAAATCTCCTAAAACTATAACTAGTGATTATGATCTGCCTATTGCCATTAGAAAATGGACCATACTAAGCATCCACTATACCCAATCTCTAATTTTGTGTCATTTGAAAAATTCTCACCATCCTATAAAAATTTTCTTATGAGCCTAAATACTATTTTTATTCCAACTACATCATTAGAGGCATTATCCAATGAGAAATGAAGGCAAGCCATGAAAATAAAAATAGAGACCTTAGAAAAAACTAAGACATGATAACAAGTAGAGTTGCCTAAAGGAAAAAATCCAGTTAGGTGTAAATAGATTTCCATGGTAAAATACAAGGTAGATGTTACTGTTGAAAGATATAAAGCTAGGTTGGTGGCTAAGGACTACACTCAAACTTATGAAGTGGATTATCAGAAAACTTTTGCTCCAGTTGTCAAGATGAATTTGATTGGGATTTTGTTATCATTGACTGCAAATTACAATTGGCAACTTCAACAATTTGATATAAAGAATGCTTTTCTATATGGTAATTTCAAAGAAGAAATATATATGAAGGTTATCTAGAAGCAAACAAAGTATGCAAACTAAAAATGGCTTTATATGGCATTAAACAATCTCCTAGAGCTTGGTTCAGGAGATTTGCCAAAGCGATGCTAGCAATGGGATATAACCAGAGTTAAGGAGATCACACATTGTTTATCAAGCACTCTGATTCAAGGAGAAGGGAGAGTCACAGTTCTATTAGTGTATGTTGATTACATAATTGTAACCGGAGATGATGTAAAAGAGAGAAAATCTCTAAAACAATGTTTAGCTAGAGAATTTGAGATAAAAAGGTTAGGAAGATTAAAGTACTTCCTAGGAATTGAAGTAGCACACTCACGACATGGTATTTTCATCTCACAATAGAAATATATGATGGATCTTTTGAAGAAAATTAGGAAGCTCACATGTAAACCTGCAAATACCTCTATAGATCCTAATCATAAACTTGAAGAAGTTAATGAAGATACTGCTGTAGATAGAGAGATGTACCAAAGATTACTTGGAAGACTCATTTATCTCTCACATACTAGACCTGATATAGCATATGTTATGAGTGTGATAAGTTAATTTCTGCATAGTTCTAAAGAAGTGCACCTACATGCTATCTCCTATGTATTGTACTATTTGAAAGCCAATCCTGGGAGAGATATCTTATTCAAAAGAAATTCATGGCTGATTCTAGACGCATATACAGACACGGATTATGCAGATTTAGTAACTGATAAAAGATTCACCTCAGGCTATTGCACTTTCTTATGTGGTAATCTTGTGACTTGGAAGAGTAAAAAACAGAATGTGATGGCAAGATCAAGTGTTGAAGCAAAGTTTAGAGCAATGGCTCAAGGAATTTATGAACTACTATGGTTAAAGATTATCCTAGAAGACTTGAAGATCAAGTGAGATGGAACAATAAGACTCTACTGTGATAACAAGTCTGTAATAAGCATTGCACACAATCCCATGCAACATGACAAAACAAAACACATTGAAGTAGACCGATGTTTGATAAAGGAGAAACTAGATATTGGGTTGATTTGTACACCGTATGTATCAACCAAAGGTCAACTTGCAAATGTATTGACTAAAGATCTTAGTAGTGTAATATTTCAAGAAATTATTTCTAAGTTGAGAATGAAAACCACATATTCACCAGCTTGAAAGGGAGTTTGGGAGAACACTTATTTACACTTAGTTGCAATCTTGTAATCTGTATATTTATATTTATATATCTAGAATTAAGTATTTGTATCCCTAGAATTAAGGATAAAAAATTAGGATAGACAATTCTTAATTATAAGATTAGTTTTAGGAAGATTTAGTTTCCTAATTTACCCACCAATTAGTTGTATATAAATCTAAAGTGCTTGTAAAATTCTTCAAGAGCAGTTTTTCAATAAATATTCAATTTTACTCTTAATTTTTCACACAATTTTATTTTTTATTTTTCTACAGTAATCATACCGTGACAATAATACCCAAAATAGCTAGACTTGTTTGTTGAGCTTCTTGCCAAAAATGGTCACCATTGGACGGACCAAATCTTCCACCCCATCCAAACCAACCTCCACCACCACCATCAGCACCAACACCAGCACCAGCACCATCCCCACGACCTGCTTCTTCTCTTCTTTTAATTTCTTTGTTCCACTTCTCAAATTCATTTTTCTTTCCGCCAAGTGCACTTTCTAATGCTTTTCTAGCTTCTTCCTGAAACCATACACATGGCAAAGATATGTCTAATCAGGAAAATGAATCATTAAACATGAAAAAAATCATCATACTTTGAAGTCAGTTACATGAACTACAGAACAGCAAATAGAATACTAATTAATTGTTGTCGATATCTAGCTTTATCAATATTCATTCTAACAAGGAAACTATCAGCTACAAAATGATAGACCTCCAATTTCCAACCTGACAAACCAAAATCTTTATTCGTTTCTTAGCAGACAAAAACATGAAGTAATCCAAAATAAAATAGAAAAACAATAAAAACAAGATAAGGTTTGGTAAACGTAGAATTCTGGTGTTACCTCTCTGCGATTATCTGAGAAAAGGCAATAAAATCTGCCGTTACATTTGAGATTGTGCAGCAGAGAGCTCCAGTTTCGGTCAACATTTTGATTGCGGGCAGCGGTGAGTGAATAGGAGCCAAAGGTTGAGGCGAGAGGGTTTAGGTTTAGAACTTGCGCCATGAATTTCTTCGCGTCTCCCGGTGATTAGAACACGCCTCCCTGCCCCCTGGCCTCTGTTAGTGTTAGGCCACTCACTATATCCCTTTGTTTTTACGACCGAGCCCAAGCTTAAAGCCCAAATGTTTTAACCTTTCCAGCAATTCAACGTTTTCTTCTTTTGGGGGTTTCCCACATTTGAAATTTGGATGGATAGCCCATAAATCAATCCATCCACTTTTAAAAGTTAATAATAATGATGATTGAAGAATACTACTAAACTATAAGTTTGCATCTCCAAGTTAAGAAATCATCATGAAAATGTTGACTTGTTAGCGTTATTACTGACGTTCTTCTCTTCTCACTCAACCTTTTGATTGGGACCGGTATCTCTATATCTGTTTGCTTTAATTGTTGTCAGTAAAATATATAGAGCTGTCTGTTTTCAGCTTTTAGATTTTTAGATGATTGATTATTTATGTTATGCTCCTGTTGAAAATTTGAAAGGCATATTCCTATGCTCCTATAGTTTTTAGGTCGGCAGGGTATCAGTTCCATGACAGGAACCAGTACTCTTAGCTTTTCACTTCTCTCCCCCCTACACCCTTCACCTTTTGTCTTTGTTCTGTTCTCTTAAAATCATTTCGATCTCCTTTTTCCGCTTTTTCTATTCTGCCATTCACAAGTTTGAGCAAAAGAGAAGATTCATTTCTCTTTATGCCACCAATTTTTTCCTGGCATTGATGATCCTCAAAAAAAATAAAATAAAATAAAAAAGGAGGTTTTATTTTTTTAATCAATTATTGTTTATATTATTGTTTAATCAATATAATATTATTTATATTATAATTTGTATTTGTACAATAGTTATTAATTTTATATCTCTTTATTTTAGTAGTTAAATTTGATGCTTTAGTTTCACACAAAGTTAATATCAAGTCTCAACAATTAAGTATATGTAAGTAAATGAAATTTCATTGGTCAATGTGATTCAAAACTAGAGCTGACTCCATGAGAATAGTCACGATTTTATAAGAATAGTATACTTGTTACATTTTTATACATGAAGGAATTGTGTTACTTAAGAAAATTTTAGATCTTTAATTTTACCGGTTATTTTAATTCCTCAATTTGGGTCTTGTGCTCTTTTTGGTCTCCCAAATTGACTTCTTTTATATATATATAAATATCTTAATCAAAGAGTTATTAATAAAAACTTGGATAGTTCACAAGTCTCCACGGATTAAATCCATTATCAATGGGGAAACCAAAAAGTTCTGTTTTCTTCTGGTTCCGAATTATGTGATGTCATTTGACAGTTGTGTATCATCTTATTTTCGTTGCTAAAAATGTGAATGGGATTAGTGAGTAAAATATGGACGCCGTTAATGTGTAACCGATAAGATAAATGAAGAATTCTGAGCCCTTGGATCAAACCCATTTTCGTCTGCCAGACCAACCCAACAACATTCTACAGTTGTTGACCCACCCCCCCACTAAATTCTTATCCAACGGCTCTGTTCAAAAACACTAGACACTCTCATCTACGAGTTCTGTTGTGTCCCCGAGGACAGTTCAACTTTTTCTTTTTTAAGGATTTTTCATCTTTATCTTTTCTCCTAATCTTTTCCTTCAATTTCAAAAAATCAGATACCACCTAAAAAATCAGAAAGTCAGATACCACCTGCAACATTACTCGAAGTTACATGTTTACCTTTAATTCACCTTCGCCTTGTTAGTATAAAACAAGAATAATCAAAGGTTAGTCTTGTCATTCCATCGCATTTTAAAGCGAGGGAAAGCAAAGACTGAAAGGAACAACTTCGCTGAAGTACATTTCTACCCGAACCCACCTTCCTCTAGAGCGGTTATGATCAGGGCACAAGCGTCTTTTCCTCATAAATTTGAAAGAAATTGATGAAGGAGGGACCTTTTCGTCATTTAATGAATATAAAGAACGCGGGGTAGAGAGAGAAAGAGAGAGAAGGGAAGAGAGAGAAATAGAGAAGGACAGAGCAGGGAGAGAGCGTGAGAGAGAGAGAGAGAGGAGAAACGTTCCTTTTGTGTGTCCCTTTTTTTAGTTAAGTATTACATGAAGGAGAAAGCATGGTGTCGGACCAAGAAATAGCAAGAGGGGTGGAGACCCTGCTCCGGCAGTCCGACCCTAGCTCCATCACCACGTTGAACGGTGTCGTTCAGCAGCTGGAAGCCAAGCTAGGGCTCGACCTCTCCCATAAAGCTGGCTTTATAAGGGACCAGATCAACCTCATTCTCCGTCCCCCTCAAACGCAGACTCAACCACCTCCAAAGGACAGTTTTACCGTCCAACATCATCCACAATTCCCTTCACAGCAACACCAACAATTTCCTCCCCATTTTGCCCTCCAACATCACTTACAATTCCCTTCCCACGACCTCAACTTCCGCCAGCACCCTGCGCAGCCTCAGCCACAACAGAATGTTTCACTTATGGCTCAACCACCGCCGCAGGTTCAGCCCCAATTGCAGCCTCAACAGCAACAGCTGCAGTCGCAGCCGACTGTGACAAAAGCTGAAGTCTTCTCTCAAAATGCTGCCACAGTTGCCACCACAGAAGTGCCTAAAGAAAGGTTCGCCCTCTTTTTATTTTTTGTTTCCTTTTTTTTTTTTTTGCGGAAATTTCTTGGTTTAGCCCTATTCTCTTTTTGGATTTTAGCGAGAGGGTTGTGTAAGAAACGATGTCCATTTTAGGGTTTTGGAAACATGAATTTGGGGGTTTGGCCATTTATTGTTTTGGTACAAAGGGTTAGGCCTTTTTTTGCACGCTTTGGTCAACAGAAGTTGGGGTTTTCCTGCCTAAGTGTTTAGAGTTGTGAAGATAGGGTTTTTAGTGTAGTTTTTACCCTTTTAGGGAATTAGTGTTGCTTTTTCGGGTTTCACGGGATTTGCCATTTCTGTTTTAGTTGATGCTGTAAATGGCATGGATTAATAGCTAATCCGCGCATAAATGAGTTCTCAGATTAAAAAAAAAAAATCCTCACATTAATATTTTGTTTTGAAAATTCTTTCTTTTGAGAAGGTTATAACTGATTTGCTGCTTTTGAACTGTGACTTTATTTGGGTACAGATAATTTGTTGTAAGGGCAGGGAACAGTTCTAGTGTTGTTTTCACAATAAATGGTGGCAAGTTGTCCAACTCCCATTCCCTTTTAGAAAAACTTAATTTTCGCTCTTCAATACGAGTAGAACCATGAAGATCATGGAAAATTCCTTCAATTTCCAGATCAGAGTGCTGAGTTAGTGCACATTAGGAAACTAAGCTTCAAAACATTTCAATTGATGGCTTTCTCCCTCTTTAATTGTTATGAGATAATTATCATTTTTTTAATTTAAATTTTAATGGATTTTAGACTAGATGAGCGAATTTGAGTATCCTATTCAGTTGTTGGTTACTTTCTTTGGCTGTGATTAGTTAGCGTGCAAGCATAAATTGCATATGCTGGCATATATGTGTCCTTTTTGGATTTATTGTCATGTATCATGATGGGAATTTGACTGTGGGTCCTTAATTTTTTATCACCTTATAGAATGGTGATTATTAGCTTCATCAATGGCCTAAGTATTTGTCTGTTTTATGATGTTACTGCAGTGCTCCAGTTGGAGCCAAAAGAAGAGGTGGACCAGGGGGTCTGAACAAAGTTTGTAGTGTTTCACCAGCACTTCAAGTGATTGTTGGTGAGCCAGCTTTGCCAAGGACTGAGGTTGGTTTCATCAGATTAACCAAGATTGCAGTAATTTTTTTAGTTAGCAGCATTCTAAAGTTTTCATGCGTGGATATTGCTGTTCTAAAATATCTGCCTCTGATTTAGATTGTCAAGCAGTTGTGGGCATATATAAGGAAGAACAGCCTCCAAGATCCAAGTAACAAGAGAAAGATAATTTGTGATGATGCCTTACGCATGGTCTTTGAGACAGACTGTACTGACATGTTCAAGATGAATAAACTGCTAGCAAAACATATTACCCCACTCGAGCCTACAAGTATGTGTTGATGCATTATGTGCAATATACATTTGTTCTGTGATGACTTGCATTTGGTGCTTTCTTCATTGGTTAATAATGTTGCTAATCATTGCAGAGGAGTCAAGTCAAAGTAAACGAGTGAAAGTAGATGTTGAGTCCAAAACCGAAAGTGTTGAACCAAGTGCCAACCCTGTAATAATGTCTGAAGCTCTTGCCAAATTTTTGGGTGCTGGAGGAAGGGAGATGCTAGCAACAGAGGCAGAAAGACGTGTTTGGGAGTATATAAAGGCCAATCATTTGGAGGTGGGTAGCTGGTGCTCAAGTTTGTGCAACTTTTTTCATTAAACTTTAGGTTTACTTTGCCTTTAGCTGCTTAAATACTTTGCCATGTTCTCTAGCTTATCTCTCTAAGAACTAAGTTTCCCACCTTTCTTGTTTACTTGAATTGGTTTTGGTTTGTCTCTCAGGTTTTGTACTGTTATTGTGATTGACTTGTTTTCTTCTCATACTTTATCCCACATATATAGATTTAGGGAATATCTTCTTTTTCTCAGAATTATTTTTGGTTTTATTTATATTGTTTTATGTTATTTTGGTTATTGTGATAGACTATCGAAGAAATACATGGTATTAATCTTTTAGGAGCTTTCTTCTATTGTTTCAGGATCCATTAAATCCAATGGTGGTACTTTGTGATGATAAGCTTCGTGAGCTTCTTGGATGTGAAAGCATATCTGTGATGGGGATACATGACTTGCTACTACGTCATCATTTATTTAAGCACTAGCTGCACTCCTGAGATCCTGGTAGTGTTGACCGGTTAGTATGAATCACTGGATAAGTTTCTTCTTATACCTGCACATGCTTGCATGGATTCATCTAAATTGATAAATACCTAGATCTTAGGATTATTCCTTCTCTACCTTACTGCTTCTATCCTTATCATTTGCTTGTCCTTTGTTATGACGTCTGACTTAACTCTTCCGGTGTTTTCTTTCTCACCCAAATAACAATAGAACAATTTGTTGGTGTTTCCCTTGTTATTATTTTAGATATCATGATTAGATGAACCTAGTTAGTCTAATTTACATTTCCTCTCTTTTGAGTTTCTGTTGATTTGTTTGATGTTCTAATCTAGATATGGCATTTGTGATTTTGCTGGATGAGTTAATTTTTATGGAAGCCTTTTTGGTATCTTTCTAATTTCTGTTGATCTGTCCTTAAATGTTAATTCTTGGACTTTTTTATTTGTCAAAAAGTAGGTTTATGCACAAGTTCCTGTCTTTGCTTTTAATAGAATGGTTCTATCTTGTTTCTCGCAGGGGCATGGGACCTTGGTCTTCTTGTTACCTCTGATGGTAGAACAGATAGTGAAGACCTTTCACTTTTCTACTTGTTCTTTTATGTTTTTTGTGCATTGACTTCTTTAGATGAGAAGCATTACTACACTAGTTGCTTGTTTATGGTCATAATGAAAATGTAGCATGGGCCCATGGCAAGGATATTTTGTAGTTATGCCATCAGCCTGTATCTAGGCGTACTTGTTTGTTTTGTTGTAGACCTGTCTTTTCGATGCTAACCTCAAGCTAAACTGAAGGAATTCGTAATGGAAATATAAGTTGTTCTAACTTCTCACAAGGACCAGTTTATGCTTTTAGTTGCATAGTTTGGAGTGTCAGCTCCAACTTTTTAGTTGCTTTGCCTTTTTTTTTTTTGGGTGGTGTTGTGGTTGGAATTGCTCCCACGGTGGCAAAGAGTGTAGTCCCATGATTTGCAGGATATTACATCTGCTCAGTACAGAAGATCATAGAGTATAGACATTATGAAAATTTTAAAATTTTTCTTCGTCATAATTTTTATTTGGAGTTTTTTTTTTAAATTAAAGTTACAAAATATTATGAATGCAGTTCAATTTTAAAATCCTTTCAAAAAGGAAGAGCCCCTTAAAGCACGCTGAAGAACAATAAGAGACCCACACTTCATTTCTCTTGTTGGGACTGTTTGGGCGGCAATGTGTTCTTAAATCTTGTTATTGTTGATGGCATCACATAGAACTTCCTTTTTGCAATGATAGTCATACAAGGGATGAAGAATAAGAAGCATCCGCTGGACTCTTATATTGGGATCTAGTACAGCTTTGAGAAAACCAGAATGGCAGCTGTAAACAACAGAGCGAGTATTGCACAGAGAACTCCCTTTTTCCAGGCTTTGGATGATTCGCCAGAGCTTATTTTGTCCATTGTGGTCGTCAGATATCCGATTATTTTCTGCAAAAAAATGATATAGAAAACAACACGATACATTAGAAGGAATAGGTCGATTCTAAATTTCAAATGTCTACTCAGCTACATTTAACATCCTGAAAATAAGGAAGAAAATTTTGAAAATCACTTACTAGCCTCAAAGGTTCCACATGAAGGAGTGGTTCCATGATCATTTCCACATGCCTGAATTATTGTCCAGATGTTAGCATTACGAAAGGAAAAACTAAAAATGTCTGATGAAAATCATCACTTGTCAAGTGCGTATTTGGCCTAGTTTTTTGTGATGCATTACCTTATCATCACTTTTCCATGGTAGGTTTGGCAAGTATAGAAGCTGAAACCCTTTCCCAAAGGCATATGAGTTTTATTCCACTCTGCAGATAATTTGTGGCAAAGGTAGACGTGGAAGTATTTTAACTCAAAACTCTGCTAGGAATCTCAAGTACTTAAGGCCATATTTTATTGAAATATGTAAAGGAAGGGCAAAGACAGACCTAATCTCCAATGGATGCCAACAACCATGCCATCATTCAATGTCGGTTGCACTACAAATTCGATGTGATTTCCCAAATACTTGATCAAAGAAGTGAAAAAATCAAGCACTTGCTGCCAACGGGATAGAAAGCAAATACTTACCTCGTTAAATATTTAATGGAATGTTTAAAATGAATAATGAAGCTTCCTGGAAATCAAGTCTTGACTACCTACCATTATTTTGAAGAAAGTTTTAAGGTGCATATATGTACCTTTTTTCCTTGTAAAGGTTGAAAAGATGAGAAGAAATTGCAGATGCATTGGCATTCATCGTCAATAACATCAGATAATTCGCGTATATTTTTGTTCTTGATTGCTGAGTAAAGCTTGAGAACTGTTTCCAAGGCTCCTGATGAATCCTCCTCTCCTGAACCTGAACTCTTGATCTTGGCATCCGGTGGCACTAGAAATAGGCCTCTCTGTCGTGAAGGATAACTCGCCGGAATCAAGGACTGCCTTAGATATTGCGGTGACTCAAAATTGCTAGAAACATTGGTTATTCCACCAAGATTAATTTTACGAAGGGAAGGCCTATGCCGAATCCTTCTTTGGGAGATGAGCAGAAAGGGATTTGAGGTCGTTGTCTGGTGGTACGGAGGGGAAGGAAATGAGACTGAACTCATATTGAAGGTTTGATCATCAATACAAAATTAAAGCTCAACAGGAAAAGGAGGTTTTATTATTATAGGATAAAGATGGAAAAAGAAAACAAGCTATACGTAAGAAAAGAATGAAACTACACCAATTGCAAGTTAAGGATCACTGCAGGTGGCTCTAACTTCAAACATAATAAAACCACGACTTCCTAGTGTGGCTTACTCGCAAAATTTAGTCATAGAAATAGAAAAAGGTTGACTTTCTACCCAATTTACAATTTAATTTTTATTTTTTATGACTTGAATTGTATCCATAATATATATAATTTTTATAACAAGAGTTAGGAATGAATTTTTAATTCCAATAATTTAAATTTTAATTTTAATAGTTTCAAAAAAAAAAATCATACAAGCAATGTAAAATTAAGAATAAATAAAAAAAATCATTTTTCTTTAGAACACATGAGACATTTATTTTTACAATTCTCTTTAAGTTTTTTTTTTTTCTATAATTATTAGTTGTATAATTTAATAGTATTACTAGAATGTCTACTTGTTTTCGTGGGATATATAAATAAAATATAAATTTGTAAAAATAAATATAGATATATAAATAACAAAATATATGCATGTATGGTAATGATAATAATAAATATACCAAAAATAGATAGTTATTAACACATAAGTATCAATAAATTAATTAAGGTTAAAAAAATATATATAGACATTAACTTTGAATTGGGATTATCTTGTACCCAAATAAACCCTATACACTTTACAGGTTACATTAAAAAAAAAAAAAAAAAAAACAAATCACCTGTAATAGGATTTAACAATTGATTGTTAAGTCAACAATATTTGAACCTATATGTAATTTTTATTTGGTTTTTTAGATTTGTAGTGGTAACTGATAAGGATAAAAACATTAGCTATTTTCCCTATTATTGATTCATTTAATATTTATACTCAAAACTTGATCTGAATGTCCATTCATCTATTAGCTCTTAATCTATTTATCTTAACTTTAAACAGAAACAAACTTAAAAAATGCAAAAAAAAAAAAAAAAAAACCAACACTTGCACCAAATGCACAACCAAAGAAACTATCATCAATCACCACCACAACAATCAAGATACAAAGCACGTATATAATCAATAATCCATAAAACCACCGTTATCATCTGAACATTTATTTTTTTCAACAACTGATTAATTTATAAAAAGATTAAATATTAAAAAAAGTGAAAATAAATGAAATCACTTACCTTAATTCATCTTGGACAATATAACAAATAAAATCAACATTTGAAATTTAAAAAAAAAAAATAGATCAAACAACAAACTCTTAATAGCACATGAACATCATTACTCATACTTTATTCTGCTTAACATGGATAATGGACTATATTGAAAGTAATCTCTTTATTCATTCATGCAAGAAAATAAAATAAACAGTTAAAAAACACTTTTATTAACTCTTAATCTCTTTATCCATCTAACATGTTACTTTCAAGTCTTCATAGCAAATTCAATAAACTATAAACAACAATCAAAATGCAAACTATATAAAAAACCATCACACAAAAAGTAAAACCTAGACTTATTTGATGTTACTTCCATTGATAATTGAGAAGTAATAAGCATGACAGCTTCAATTCAAAACATGCTTGGAACATGTCCTGCGTCTGTTAGTTCCTAATCTCTTTATCTTTCTAACCTTAAATAAAAATAAATTCAAAAAAAAAAAAAGTAGCAACCACCATTAATGACCATCGAAGTAATCAAAATGTCAAAAACAAAGCCAAAAATCATAATTATCATCATCTGAATGTTAACCTGTTTTGACCACTACTTAATTGATAAGAACATATATTAAATACTAAAAAAAAAAAAAGCACTTACTTGAATACCTCATAGACAATATAGCAACAGAAGTAAGACATGGTTGTAAGAAAAATCAGCTTAAAGAAGAAACTCAAGAAAATCTCTCAATAGAACAAAATCATCATTATCCATACCTTATTTTACTTAGTTGAAATAATTTACTAGATAAAAAATTATCTCTCCTTCATGCATGCAATAAAATAAAAAAAAAAAAAAAAACTTTTGTCCTAAGTTTATTAACTTAAAATCTCTTCATCCTTATACTCCTATTCTACTTTAAGTCTTCTTCATAGAAAATTAGAAAACACAAACCACAATAACATATGCAAACAATACACACAAAAAAAAAAAAAAAACCAACAATAAAAATACATTTACCATTGAAACCTTCAATGAAATAAGTTGAAGCAAGCAGAATTTAAATACATCCAAAATATAATCACCTCAAGAAAAAAAATATAAAAAAAGCCAAAAATAATCAAGTAAGCCTCTTTATAGCTAATTCAAAAATCATAAACAACAATCAACATTCAAAGCACATAGAAGACTGAAAAAAAAAAAACAAAACACTTACCACTAAACCCCCAAATGAAGTCAGTCGAGGCAAGTAGAGCTTGAAGAGAACTTCAGCAATGAAATGGTGGTCTAAAGAAGAAAATGGAGATTGAACCTACAAAATGAAGACCCTCAAAACATCAAAAAAGAAATTAAAGAAGAAAATCGAAATTCACAAACTCATAAATATTCAAAGAAAATTGAATTTTTCATTGAACCTATATAATGAAACCCATAAAACCTACCAATCGAAAACATGAGAAAAGTAAGAATATTTCGTCCTAATTGAACCTAGGCAGAATATTTCATCCTAATTGAACCTAGGCAGATAACTTTCAAATATCAAATGGTTCAAACTCATCCAATAAAAATTAAAAAAAAATTAAATTTAGTTGATCAAATCACACCAAATTTAATTTTGATATATTTTGACAATTTTTTTATAATTAATAAGAATTCAAGCATAAGAAAAGAATGATTATTTTGCTTATTCAAATATCTAAGCATTTGGTAATGTGATTTTTTTATTGGATCAAGTTATTTTCAAAGAATTTCTAAATTATTTCTTTAACTAACAAAATGAAATCTAGTATTGCTAAAGCATTTAATTCTAGTCAATGATGCTAGGAAGATAAGCTTTCCAAATCATTTTTATCAACAAAAAAAATTCTTTTAAGATTAAATAAAACCAAAAGATAGAAATAAAAGGAATTTTTTGTTAAAATGGTAGACATTGTAAACAAACATCATATCTGTCGTAATAAGTAAAAAAAAAAAAAAAAAACTCCAATCAATGACTAGTAAAGGATTTACTAATATTTGAAAAGTAAAGCAAATGCAAGAGGAAAAAAACAACCAAATTTTCGAAACTCACCAAAAAAAGATTAACAAAAAAAGAGTTCTTACAAAATTTTAAGGGTTGCACTTCCAACATTTATCCTTTAAATTCCCTATACAAAACATTCTACAAAAATAGCCATCAATAATGGTAAGCAGTAATGTTTCTATACAATATTGCTACATGACATCATTATATCATAGAAAAATCTATAATGAATACTTAAATTAACATAACCTTTGCGTTGCTCGCATTGGACATTAGGCTAGATATGTACTGCTGCCTCAATGATTTTTTGAGAAAAAAAAAAAAAAAAAGGGACTACACTTAGAAAACATTGTGGATTATCTAAAAATATAAAGTTATATTGGGCAATTATTAAGTGGCATATATATTTCTTTTAGTTTAACAATGGTTTCAAAACATCCTTCAAATGATTCAGACTTGAAAAAAAAAAAGAAATAATAAAGATAAAAGAAGATATTAACATCTAATTACTTAAGGATGCATTAATTTTCTATCAACATATAAAAGAAAAGAGAAAAGTGTTAATAAAAAGAGCTAATAAATTAGGTGCAATTCAAACAAGAAAATAATGATACTAATGTTCATTGTTTCTTAATGTTTCTTAAAATAATTTTATCTAATTCTGATAATTTAATCATGTCATAATCAACTACTAAGAAAAACAAAACTTAAGTGATAAGTTTTGTTTTCAAAACAGACTTTTGTTTGTAGGTACTTAATTTTGTCTGAATCCTTTCAAATTTGTTCAATTTTGCTAATTTGCATGCCATGATTTGGATCATTTGAAAATTTTAATTAAATTTATCTTATAAGGTCATTTGAATTTTATTTACTTTAGATTAAATTTAATTTTATTGGGAGCAATCTAAAATTGGATTATTTGAACTTAAAAGTTCAAATCTAATTATGAAGGCCTAAATTACTTTTAAACCCCAAATTTAATAAAAAAGGCCCATAACAATTTTTGAAGCCCAAATTTGTTATTAATGGCTTAAATTCAATTCAATTTAAAATCCAAAATTTAGGCCCAATTTTATTTAATGAGAAATTAAAAATTCAAAAAAAAAAAAAAACAAAGCAACAAAAAAGGGAAGAGGACAGTGGTAGTGGCCCACAATTGTACAGAGCACCATCTGCACAGTTCAAGCCACAAGCAGCCAAAATTTTTAAATTACTTGCTTTACAAAACCTAATTTCAAAGATTAAAAAAAAAAAAAAAGAATGAGGCTCGATTAAGGAGGCAATTGCCAAAAATTTTCACAAAAAAATCCTAGAACACTTTATACCACCCAATTAGCTTCTACAATCATCACCTAAAAAAACCCAACATCATTTTCTATTGATCCCCTTCCTGCCTTAAACCACCAGTTCCACCCCAAAGCTGAACCATCATTGTACAAGAGCACTAACAGAACCCACGGTCCTCTATCTTCCATCACCACCAACCCCAACACTTAAATCTACCACCTACTTCCATCCACCACATAGCTCATATAAACAAACACCCTAAACCAGAAAAATTATCCCCAAACTTGATCACCGTAATAGCCAACCACATAATCCACCCAAACTAAGAAAACCACCACCCACCATGCCATACACAGCCCATCACCATGCCCAAATCAGTGGCCACCATTAAACCATCATCCCAACACCTGGCATTGCACAACCTACAACCATTGTAAACCACCACGCATCACTTCAATACCCATACCAACAGAAGCCATTATCATTAAAACCATTTAGACCCACAAAAAAAAAAAAAGAACTAACATAAGTTAAAACCCCCACTTAATGAGCAAGAAAAC